GAGGGAGGTAGGAAAGATTGACCGTGAAGTAGCCCAAGATGCCCGGGACAGTATTCGCGGCATTGAGGAACTTGGTGTACGGCACTGTGCGGAGACACGCCAAGGTATCGGCAGAGCTGGCACATCCAGCTGCTTCAACGACCTGGGAGAGGTTAGCATCGTGTTATGCGGCAGGGAGTGGGATCGAACACATACTCTGTCGTAAATAGCTTGACCTTTGGGGCAGTCAACGGGATCAGCTGGAACTATCGAACCCGAGTTCATGATGCCAGCTCTGAACAGCGGCTTGCCATTGTAGTTGTTGTCGCCGTCGTAGAGCATCATCTGATCCAACACGGAGATAGCACCGGCAGACTCTCCCCAAATCGTGACCTTCTCAGGATCTCCACCGAATGCGGCAATGTTGTCAGCAACCCATTGCAAGCCCAATCTCTGGTCCAGCAGCCCTAGATTGGCGGAGCCATCGGCTAGTACCTCTTTCCCGGGCATGAAGCCAAATCCGCCCACGCGATAGTTGACTGCCACAAATACAATGGGCTTGCCTTGAGCGACTGATTCGGCAACAAGGCTTGTTCCATCGTACATTGCAGTGGATCCAAGTTCGAAACCGCCGCCAAAGATCCAGAAAAGTACAGGAAGTTTGTCGCCAGCTTTGGTACCAGCTGGGCGCTGTACGTTGATAGTAAGGCAGTCCTCTCCAGCATTAGTGATGGTCTGGAGAAGTGGTAGGTTTAGGATAGTGCCTAAGACGTTGGTGGGAATATTTCTCTCGTCGATGCTGAAGAAGAACTGTGGGCATGCTTTTGGAATGCCGGTTCCATCGACCTTTCCGAGAGAGGAAGTTATGGGCTGGGGTGGTTTCAGTCGTAGCTGGTCAATCGGAGGCTGTGCGTATGGTATGCCTTTGAAGGACTCAACACCCAATACGTTGATGCCAGCAACCGTGGCTTGAGGCGAGGGAGCAACGACGGTAGGGTTTGCTCGTTTTTCCAGCGGTGCTGGGACTGCTAGAGCCAAAGGAAGCAACGAAAGAAAGGTTGCCAGCTTCATAGTGAATAGTTGTGCGTTCGACTCGTCGTTGTCGAATCAAATGAAGTGTTCCCTTCTGGTGACTGCTTCTACCATCGCTGTGCAACGCACGATACTTAACTCGCCCGGTGGAACAGATGTCACAAGCCAGAGACTATGCTTCACAACGAACCTCGGACAATGTCGAGGTCTCCTGAAGAGCGATTTGGAAAGATTCAACGTAAGTTCAAAGGCCGCCGTGGCTGCAGATACACCCATGCTTCAATAGCATCCCCCCGGAATTTTGGGTTGCAGATCGCTCTCATTTTGATGGAAGTGGGGTCTGACAGCCTTGTGAGGTGACACGGTGCATGAAGAACATCGTGCGCTGACCTATCCGACCTCGCAGCTCAGAGCGTCAGCCAGGGGAAAGAACCACAATAGGCTTGGATCGTTGGTGGATAGCTTCCGGCGCGTATTGTCTAGGCAGCTGGTCATGAGGTGTCGGCGCATCTAGCGGACGAGTAGTAATCCAGAGTTTATGGTTTTGCGCCACATCAGTCTTTACACAAGCCATCCTCGGAACGTTCTCTGTTTGCGCTTTCGACAAAATGCGACTGACCCGAGTGCACTGACTATGAGATGTGTGGTGGAGGGACGTGCAAGGTAGGATATCGACACCAAGAGTGGCATTGACTGCCGGACCGCAAACGGATGCATCCTCCCGGTCTGTGGGTGGGTGTATCGACTGAATCGCCATCGTTGTTAACAGCTCGGGAACCAGCCATAAACCGTTGGCTTGTATTCTGATGACGGAGATGCTACCTTTCAAGGGGTAACTACTTCGCCCCGCGTGGACAAAATGCGGGGTATCCACGATGGGTCTCCCCACGATCTCGGCGAATCCATCGCTCGATATATTGGTGTTCAGCGCCTTGCTTGCGGGCAAGGCTGACGCCTCGGTAGTAGAGAGGCGCCACAAACTTACGCAAACTCAAATTGCATGTGAGAAGACTCTGAGGGGTTTCGAGAACTCAGCGCACCGCGCCAACGCCCGGGTGCACTCCGATGGCTGATGGACGTGGAGCCGGTAACGGTAGTTGATGCTAGCGGAGCGTATTCATCCGTATCGAAAGCTTTGACAAATCTCGGAATGGAATTTACCGTGCATTCGGTATGGGCACACTCGCTGAGCTCGTGTGATAAAAGGCGAAAAGACTGATGTGACGCGGCCATACGCCCCGCAGACTCAGTAGGATCGCATGCAAAGGAATGCAGGGAGAAGGAAAATGCTCTCGAATTTCTCAACAATGCGAGTCCGCATGTTGGGAGTCGCATCCGTGTACAAAGCTCAGATGCGAGGCACGCGAGTACCTCAGATTTCCATCTCAGCTTTGGGGGCCAGTGCGGGATTACTAAGCGTTATCTCCCACTCAATCGAGGCTTGATCGCAACGCAACACTAATACTTCAATTTCTATCACGACTGTCGGAGCCATCTGGACTTGCGATCAAAACGATATAAACAGGTCGGTACTCATGTTCAGTCGCAAATAACACGTAACCAGCATCAAAACAGCCACCAGGACTGTTCCATCGTTTTGGCCTCATCTCTAGCAACTCACTCATCTTTAAGATGGCGGAGGAACACGGCAATCTCAAACTGCTGCGATTGAGAACACCTGCTTCCGATGTCTGAGCTACGTATACCTAGGTACGGTATCAAGGATGAGCGCTGCCACTGTCTCTCTTGGTAGCTATATGCTGAGGCGACACATGGGACTTCGCTACGACGCAACTTCTTGTTGGACAACTTCTTGGCACATCTCTGGCTATAATTTTGTGTCCATATCGAGACACATTCAAGGTTTGAGGTCCAACAAAGCGGAGTAATGGTCCCACAAGGGATGGTACATATAACCAGCGCTTACATGCATCCGATATTACGCGGTGGTAGGTGTCACTGTGCGTGCTTACGTGCGTAAGTAATTTCCCGGCCACCGGGGGCCTGATGGATAGGTTCAGATATCCCTAGCGAATTCTTCTGCGCGAATGTCTCGGCCGCATCATCTCCAATGTCGTATTTCAACATCGAGGTTGAGCCCATTCGCTACAACAGCCGATGTGTTAGTTTTACCGAGTGGGTCTCCTTGTTCACTTTGTGTCTTGCCCCATTGATCGCGGTAAGTCTAACCTGCGCTATACTCCTGTCTGAAGATAAAGTGCTGATGGAAGTCGTGGTTCAGCATATCATATCTGGTACGCCTACAATATCGTATCTGACAGATCGGCGCCCGAGATGGTACGATCGGCTGTGCAGCTGCAACCCGACATCTATAATCTGGAGATACGCTGCGATAGCCGATCGGCGCATTCGCGCTGTCCAGTGGAGTCGTCATGATCTAGCAGCCACCAACGCGATATTCTGGACTTCGAACGGATGGAATGGCGGGGAAGAGATGGTAACGGCTTGTGCTCCGCACTGCTTACGTTTGCCAGAGCACACCCACGTTGAAGTAGCCTCATTGACAACGTTGAAAACCGTCATCACAACACTTCAAGGCGTGTCGGCACTCTATTTACTCATTGGTGCCATGTCCGGAGCCGCACTTCCCGGCGTCGCCATTGGATTCGGGATCGACGCCGTCTTCTTCCCGTTGGCCATTCTGGGCCTTTTGCGATTATGCGCTGCAACTTGGCTAACAGAGGACTTTGTATACCAGCGAGGCGGCTTGAGGAACGTCACGACAATCGTGCAGACGCACGGGACTCTCTTGCCCAAGGACAGTGACATGGAACCCGATCAACAACCGACAGCATTGGAACCGCTCATAACAGCACCATATGAAACAGCTGGATTCAAGTCGCCCACCGAATCCTGGAAAAGCTGTCTTTTTCGCATCTTCTTCCTTCTTCTCCTCGGAGGAGTTTGGACATTAGCACTCCTTATCTTCACACCAGTATTAGGAGACACGTTTTTCACCACAACAACTTTTCTGCTCGGATTGTTTTACTTCGTTTTTATCACCGTTTCCCTCGTATTGTACGTCTTCTACTTCATTCGCGGCCAAACGACGACTACGATTTTACCCTGTATCTCGAGCACATGGTACCGGATCTATACTCTACTGCTCATGGGTCTTATGATGGTCCTCATCGTTATTGCAAGTATAGAAACGAACAAGAGTCCCACGGGGTTGTACACTAGTGCGGACTTGGGAACGAATTTGGCGTGCGCGGACTCCAGCCAGTGGTGGCAATTACCGCCTCCCAGTCGGTGGATAGGAGTTGCGACAGACAAAGAACTGGATGGAAGGTGGCTGAAGCGGAATCAGACCAGCCTGGTTGTTAAGGGTGCCCAAGACACGGAATTCTGGTTGTACAACTTCACTGGCTTCTGCATGGGACATGTCGACGATATGTAAGGCGCTGAATTTGCGCTACACTTGCTGGCGCGGTCTGTACCTATGTAGTATCAGAAAGCTTTGGACTGTATCTGGACTTTTCAAGGCTACCCAAGTAGAATTTGAGCAATGCGATGGGGTCGTGCGTATGTACCATTTGAAGTACCCAGATAGCCAAACAAATTTGCTCACGAGTACGACAATCAGGCTTGAACATGAGTGTAGAGCTCAGAAGAGTGCGTAAATAAGCCTTCTCTGAGTTAAGCACAAATTCACTTCTTCGTTGCGCGTCGGCCCGTGGTGTTCGCTAGTGACAAGCCGAAACGGGTTAGAGTCATGACGTAATAGCAGCTCGGCCTGAACATTCTCGCAGCCTGCGCGCACTGCCGATATACAACAGCCATTGCGGTTCCCTTGGCCAGCAGCAAATTGTCGCGCGAACTGCTACGCGAGTATAATGTCCCAAGTTGCTTGAAGTAGCACGACGTTCTGCTATTCCAACGAAGCTTCTCAGATCAGCAATTGATCAACTCTGACGCGAACTTACCACCCCACGTCTATCTAGGTACACGCTCAGCCACCAGTAGCGATGCCGAACCCTACAGATATTCCGTCATTCGCCGCCTCGCAGCTCACACTGCTCGATGCCGAGCTTCAAGCCGAGCTCTCCGAAACAAACGCGCTTCTCTCGTCACACACGCCTACCGCCCTCTCACGCGCCGGTCTCGCGATCCTGAACCTTAACATATCTTCTATACGGACAGGGCTGGGCGGCAAGACCGTGGTCGAGCTAGGACTGGATTCGGCAGTTGTCGCTAAAGGCGAGAAGCCGGACATCCCAGAACACGGCATACGTGTGGGCGATATAGTCGCGGTTCAAGACCAGCCCAGCGGGAGCGCGAAGAAGACGGATAAGAAAGAGCTCGAGAAGAAAGGCGCCTCGGGCGTAGTTCTCAGGGTACGTAGGGAGAATGTGGAAATTGTACTGGACAAAGAGGACGCAGATGTGCCTACTGGCGGCAAGCTATGGATGTTAGTTTACACATTGTGGGCGGCTGTGTCGGGCATAATGAGGCTGATGCATGTACTAGAGTCAAATTGGCGAACGACGTCACCTACAAGAGGTACGTCCTGGCCGAATCCACTGTTTCAATCTTTACCTGAACTCATTCATGATAGGATGAACCAAACGATGAACAGGCTGCAGAAGCTCGGAGACCAAGAGTACACTCCCTTCATGCGCGTACTCTTTGGACAGGCATCGCCTACGCCCCTACCCTCGGACCTGAATGATCCATCAAATCCCCTCCATAAGCTTGAGTGGAACGATCCATCTCTCAATGACAGCCAGCAAGAAGCCATCAGATTCGCGCTAGCGTCCCAAGAGGTCGCGCTGATCCATGGCCCTCCAGGCACAGGCAAGACGCACACCCTGATTGAGCTTATCCTCCAATTGCTCAAGCAGAAGCTTCGCTTGCTGGTATGCGGTCCATCGAACATATCCGTAGATAACATTGTCGAGCGTCTAGCATCTCACAAGGTACCCATGGTGCGCCTCGGGCACCCAGCACGCCTCTTACCATCCGTCTTGAATCATTCTCTCGACGTTCTCACACGAACTTCAGAAGCAGCCGCGTTAGTCCAGGACGTTCGCAAAGAAATGGATGACAAACAGTCTTCTATCCGCAAAACACGCAACGCCAAAGAGCGCCGTCAGATCTACACCGAGCTGAAGGAGCTCCGACAAGAGTACAGAGAGCGAGAAAAGGGATGTGTAAACAATCTAGTAACTGGCAGCAAGGTCGTCCTTGCGACGCTGCATGGCGCGGGTGGCTTCCATCTAAAAGGTCAGGAGTTCGACGTCGTCATCGTAGATGAGGCCAGTCAGGCTTTGGAGGCTCAATGCTGGGTGCCTTTACTGTGGGTCAAGGCAAGTAAGCTGGTGTTGGCCGGCGACCACCTCCAATTACCACCCACTATCAAGTCTCTCAACTCGAAACAAACGAAAGCGGCCAAGAAGGAAGCCAGCAAGAGTAAGGATAGCGCAGAGAATCCCGTTGGCAAGCTGATTACCGGCATGACGCTCGAAACAACTCTTTTCGACAGGCTATTTTCTCTACATGGACCGTCGATCAAGCGGATGCTAACGACGCAATATCGCATGCATGAGAAGATAATGCGATTTCCATCGGACGAACTATATGATTCAAAACTTATCGCAGCAGACTTCGTCAAGGACCGTCTACTGAAGGACTTGAAGTACGACGTGGAAGAAACTGAAGATACACAAGAGCCGCTCGTCTTCTGGGACACTCAGGGCGGTGACTTTCCCGAGAAGATTGAAGACGAGGGTGTGATAGGCAAGGGCGGGAAAGGCATGAGCCTTGGCGATAGCAAATCGAATGAAGCAGAAGCCGCGTTGGTGAAGATGCATGTCGCGAATCTGATCAAAGCCGGCGTTAAAGCGGAAGACATCGCGGTGGTTACGCCATACAATGCACAGGTACGCGTCTCTCTACCCTGCCCATCATGCGTGTGCAATGCGCGTCAACTCTGTATTGTGGGGTTGAATGTTAACAATGGTAGCTCGCATTGCTTGCTGGAATGCTCAAAGAGGCGTATCCTGGTATCGAACTAGGATCCGTGGATGGCTTCCAAGGCCGCGAGAAGGAAGCCGTCATTGTCAGCACAGTACGGAGCAATCCAGAGCATGAGGTGGGCTTCTTGGGCGAGAAGAGACGGCTCAACGGTACGTCAGCTCCTACTCTGCCGACTCGCCGCAATATCTACGCATGAACACGTGGCTGCAGGTGCTAATGAAGGGCGCAGTTGCAATGACACGCCCAAAGCGACATCTTTGTGTGATCGGAGACTCAGACACAATAAGCAAGTACGTACCCTCTTCATTCCCAATTCATGTCCCCAGCACCACTGGCCTTCCTTGTTGGTCATATAACCGATGCCTCATCGTCATCGCGGAGTCGCGGACATCGGTCATACCCGAGAACGTGGGCGTCGGGATGTGGTCTTTGCGAACAAGCAAATCTGAAACCCGCGTAACTCGAAACTGCCGTGACACGCCCCCTTGCTTTGTCACACGGGAACCCTTCGTCACCCACACCGAGACCAGACCCTCGGCACCCTGCTATACGGCGGAGGATTCTATACGCCCATCACACGGCAGCGCCATGCATTGTTGCTGACTTGATTGATTCACAGGGGCTCCAAGTTTCTAAAAGCCTGGATGCAGCATCTAGAAGACCACGCCGATCTCAGGTATCCGAACTTGGCGGACGTCTACGTGGACCAAGAAAACGGCGGATGAGGGGTGTAAGCAAGCGAGGCTGTAACACATGCGCTGTCACGGGCTCCCAAACAAACAATGTCGGAGTTGTGGTTCGCTACTACATGTTGGAGTGGTGTGGGGAGGACATGGTCTCAGCGCTATGGTTTGGTTCGCAAGCGAAGCGCGATACTGCAGCCATGGTATGCGGCGTGATTTTAGCTGCAGTAGTCCCGCGTCAAAGTCGCGAGTCGAGACAGCTCGCGCCAAAACACCTACATACGCCGAATGTCATCGCCAAAGTGGCATGCGGCATGAGACTACGGTGGTAAGACGGCGAAGCAGGGCTTGCATGCGATTACATATATGCGCAAAAGAGAAACGAGAAGGGCAAGAAGAGCGCGATGAATAGGCAGCGAGTAATGCGCTCATTCTCTCAAACTCTTTATGCTGAACGGTGTCGTGCAGGATAAAGTGTGTGTGGTGGCGAGTCGTGACCATCAATACATGGCGCAATACTATCGAGCAATCAGCGCAGGCCGGAAACTTCATCAAAACGGCGCCCAGCGCTTGCGACGTCGCTTCTGTCAACGTCTTTCGAGACCCTTCGGCTACTGTCGACCAGCCTCCCCTATTAATCATGTTTACATCAACGTACATCGTCAACAGGTAACGCGTGCAGTAGAGTACCAAACAGTCGTGATAGACGGTGTGGTGTGGGCCAGAGTAATCAGCTCCAATCAGGCCGTCGTCGGAGTTAGTCCGCGGACAGCCTCAAACGCGTTAATGCAGGCTGGAGCAAGGATTCCTGTTAGTCTGCACGGCCGAGGGTCCATGACATGACATGCGTCCTGGCGACCCCATGTCTTCTCGCGCTCAGACCTGACGCGACAAGAGGAGGGTTCGTGGAACGCCTCGGTCAGTGCTGCAAGCCGCTATTTGTAGACGCAGAAGGATTAGCTCTGCGACGGCTTTACTGGGATTTGAGATGGCGGTTCTGGACGAGTGGTAAGTTTGAGGGGCCGACAGGAAAGCTGAGGTCCAAGACGTGTTAGCCGCATGTTTCAGAAGGGCTGAAGAGGACAGTGGCCGAGCGCGCCTGCGCGTGCCGTGCTGCAGCCAACGAACGTATCGATTGCAACAGTCCGCTTTGGCGAAAACATGCAGCTGTACTGGACGCAAAACCCCACAGCCCCATCGCCAACAACCTGCACGTCGTTCGTTCGCGCAGTGGTCCGACTTGTTGGCCTCTCATGCAACGCTTGTGCAGCAGCGATCAGGCCTTTATTTGTTGCTGCAGCCCCCCAGCCCCCGTTGTGTTGTGGTCAAAGGTAATGCCGGTCATACTGCTTGATTCGCAAATGCGCCATCAATAATAGCCTCCTCCTTCCCGCCGCGCCCCCCATCCGACTGACCCTCCCCACTCTATTGGCACCCTTGTCCAAAGGGTACATGACGCTCTCGGTCTGATACATAGACCCTAAGAGCGCCGCCCCCCGTTCTTTTGCTGCTCTTCTCGTTACGTCGTCTGTGGCACGTCTCTCTATTGTTTAACCTCGTCGCTCTTTCTGATCGAGTTCGCTTCTTTCGAGTCTTGGGGGCTATCGTTGTTAATTCCTTATTGCCTATTCTTGCCTTGCATCTATTTTCGGAGGAGGGACGTTTGCCGCGCTTGTCGCTTCGGTCCGCCTTTGCTTTGCTTCTTATCCATCAACTGCTTTCGCAACATCGGTGATGGTAGTCGAGATCCTCACGCTCGCTGGGTCATCCCGGTAAACCTCGCCTAAGCGCAATTTCCAGAACTCGTCCGCAGAAGCGCATTCGCCAACACTCGGAATCCAAAACATCGCAGCATCCATATGCTTCAAAGAGAAGGCTTTGTCGTCGCCGATATGAGTGCGTCGACGCCCTCACCCTCGCCTCTTGAGCGCTCCAGCTGGAAGGCTGAGGCTATCAGAAGAGGGAACTTAAAAATTAGCGGGCCGATCCCTATTACCGAGGATGTGCCGTTGAATGAAGAGGAAGAGAAGGAGTACGCGGCAAATGGCGCGCTGGACCGGACACTGCAGCCGCAGGACGCGCCAGAAGAGCAGTATGAAAGGCCGCAAACCCCGCCAAGACCACTTCAGTCTCCTCCGCCTGTGCCTGAACAGCATATGTCAGCCTTGCGATCAAATCCTGTGGGAGAGCAGCAGCCGCAGCGCGATTCGGCTGTTCCCGAGCGCCCGATTTCTTCAAGATCCCCGCCAAGAGTGCGACACTTGGACGAAGTACAGCGCGAAAGCATTGTGCCATCGACTTCGATCGCTTCCCCGTCGCCGTTTCGCTCCACGCCAGAGAGCGCCGGTAAAGCTGCGCAGAAGAAGAATAAGCGCAAGAGCGGTCTCAGAAATGTGTTCCGGAAAATGTTCGGGCGAAAAGGCCCGGACCGAGCGGATGATCTGGAAGAAGAGCCAATGCAGCGTGGCCACAGCTACCACCATAGTGTAAGTTTGTCTAGAACAGCGTGACGAATGGAATCTGACGAACAACAGGACACTACCATGCTGAGATCAACACCACCAAGAGAACCAAGGACACCCCCGTCCAATCCTCGGATATCTGATCTGCCAGTGGAGGAGCTACAGCCATTACATCCGCTAGGCCAACATCTCCCGTACCCCATGAATGTGAACGCGCCGCCAGCAAGTCCACCGAAAGAGTACCTTACATTCGATACGGACAGGCCGGATCTCGGTCGCCGAAGAGCCACGCTGCCCACTGTACCAAGTGCCATTACTCATCGACACAGTTTCGACGAGCCTCGGGAAAAGCTGGCAGCGTGGGACGAACAGGCTGAAGAAGATGAGATGTCTCCCGGTATCGGTATCGCACTGTCCAGCCCGACTCAAACAGTAACGTCCAAACACGACAGACGGAGATCAAGAAGTGCAGATGCTCTTCACAATCTCGCAAAAGAGCGCGCCTCGACGGAGAGAGGCAGGAGTGCGGAGATCAAGTTCTGGAGGGAGAGCTACATGTCTGGCAGCATCTATAGTAGACCGCAAACAGCGAAGACTGTAGAGACGGTCCGCACCGTGCCGATGCAAGAACCCATGATCCGGGAACCCGACAACGAGTCGTTCAACGAGATGAGCGCGACGCTCGTCCAGGCGGACGAATCGCAGACCGCGACACCGATTACGGAAGAGCCGAACCGAGAGCAAGAACGTAGTGTTCAGCCCCCGGTCTCGGCTTTCAACTTTGGTGATCTCAAGAACGCATTGTTTGGACCCAAAGAGGAAACCATTCCAGAATCACCGCAAGTCCGAAGCATTTCGCCGCCGCCTCCGCCACCAGCGAAGAGCCAACATCGCATACCCATTGAGGATCGCGTTCAGGATCTTGAATCCAGGTACTCCAATCTCGAAACACTCACCCGCCGGATGTCATCCCGTAACAACCGGCAAACCATCATCCTCGAAAACGCACCTCGCAACCTGCGATCAAGGAACCGGAGTTCGTCCGCATCTGCATCGCGCTCTCACTCAAGATCAGCACCGAGCATTCATCAAGAGCTCATCGTTCAATCAAGTAGTGAGACTCTTGAGCCCGAGCCTGCGCCTGGTTCTCCAACGCTTGCCGCACCTCCCGTTCCCCACACTGGAAGTAACGAGGAGCATGCGCGCGCGTTGCGAAACGTTTATGAGGCGCTCAGACACGAGAGGAGCGCGAGGAAGGCCCTGGAACAGCAGGTTCGCACTCTGCAGCACGATGTGTCGGACCTGCATGCCCTGGTGAACAAGCTCATCGTTTCGGCGACTGCAACATCGCCATCGTATCCTACTCCGTCGCCCGACACCTTGATCATCTCGCGCGAAGGCGATCAGCGGATAAGCTGTTCCACACCGCGCGCCCCAGCGCACGACCGGAATGTCGTCTACGGCCAGACCAGCCACGACAGGAACCAGCGCTGGGCCAACGACGACGCGAGCGTCTACTCTGAAGACCTGGCCCGCAAGCCGAGCTACGACGATGTCTCGCCAGAGGTATGGGCCACGCCGAAGGAAGAAGGGTTCGATGGAAGTGGGTTTTTCCATGGCGATGACCGGGTAGGAGCATATGCTTGAGGCTTTTAGGTCGCTTGATGCGGTCTCGAGACGTGGAATGATTGGTAAGGTTTTCTTTCCTTCTGGATACGGCCGGGCATGGCATGACCCTTTGGATGTTTGTAAGATACCCAGCGTGTGCGTTGCTATGGCGCGCGCTTCTGTCGTTGAGCGATTTATTATTTCTTGTGTCTATTGTTTGGTTTAGCGAGCGAGCGTATTGAAATGCATCCATTCCTCATCACTTGTGTACAGTTTGTTTAACGCAGACATGATGTAGGTGTTGCGGCCAGTGAGGTTAGGCAGCGACGGAAGCGAAGTTTCGCGCTAGATGTTGTGGAAGGCGCGACCTACTCTCACCCCACGGCGTCCGGGCTCATTCGAGAGGAAATCGCACGGCACCTCGCACTTTGTTCAACGACGGCCTTGATCTTTCCAACACCAACGCGCATACGGCAATCGAGCGACAGGACATTCGCCATGATGCAGAGAGGGTTCGAAGACGAGGTCGCCTTGTAAGTATACTGTGAAGGAGTATGAACCAAACTGACTATATGTAGTGCGAACGAAAGCATGATCACTGTGAAAGTCGGTGAGGCTATCTTCATGGTCTCTGAACATGCTATACGTGCATCATCCGAGTTCGTCGATGCCGCGATGAAAGGACCATGGCAAGAATCGCAAGAGCGCACCATCTCGCTGCCCGAATGCGATAGAAGCGCCTTTGGCATTTATCACCGGTGGCTTCTCACAGGCGTTATCCACAATCGACAACGCGCTGATGATCAGTTATCAGCGTTACAGCTAGAGCTGTTGAAGCTACCCCGATTGTTCAAACTGAGTCAGTACCTACTTGACACCGACTTTCAAGATGCCCTGAGCGACAGCCTACTTCAATGTACAAGTGCATTAGAGTCTAAGAAATCGCAATTTCCGCCGAGCTACGGGTCGAAGTATTACCAAAACGTACCTGATGGATCACCAATCAGACAGCTCGTTGCAGACCTCATTGCATGGACCATGGGCAAACGTCAACTGCAATTCATAGTTGGACGAAAGGACAAGATGGACCCGGATCTGGCCATGAACATCCTCCAGACTGTCGGTGAAACATACATATCTCGAGGGTCTGGCAAATCGCCGCTTCATCGCTGGGAGAATAGCTGCAAGTACCACTGTCACGGTAATGAGAAGACCTGCTACAGGAAGAAAGCTGAAACGTACGTAATATGTTCTGTTCATGACATGACCGCAGCTAAATTGGTCTAGGCCTCGCACTATCCCAACGAAACGCCCAGCTTCTAACGAAGCCCAGTCACCGGATGCAAAGCGACAAGCTTCAGGACAGTATGAGTTTTGTGTGGAAGACTCTTCGTATGTTGTACAGTCTGGTATAATTAGACGTGTGGCGTGACTGTCAAGCGGTGTTTGGGTGAAACGGAGGGTGATGAAGACCACGTAGTATCAATGTGGACTACTCGTCATCATCGATGGCGAAATTATGATTTACTAAAACAGTTACAAGGCGCGTACAAAAAGTATTGTTCAACATGAAAAATGTTTAAAGCTGTGAATAGTGAGGTGAAGGTGAGGCAGTCGTAGGGCGCTCTTGCCTAATTCGTGAGAAATTATCCAAGGTACAGCACTACCCCCACTCAGATAATCTGTCCGGAACCCCAGCTCCAATCCTTCTACCTCTACTGACAACACGATTGAGCTGCACAGCTGCAACACAACGCCGACTGCAGCGGCGCCAGTAACAATACTGCAGTAGCATTGCTCAACCTCCAGCCAAAGGTCGCCATAATGCCGCTCTACCCCCAATCCAAGATGCCGAAGTAAATCACCATCATACTCAGATGATCTAGTAGCTAACAGTAACAGCATGGGAACCAAAGTCATCACTGTGCGCGTTGGTCGTGAGCCCAACCATACCGATTTCACTGTCCACGAAGATCCCATCCGAGCATCATCCGCATTCTTCCAGACTGCCTTTCGTCACGAATGGCTCGAGTCACAGGAACGCGTCGTCCGACTTCCAGAGTGCGACGCGACAGCTTTCCAGATTTACACCCATTGGCTCTACTCCGGCTTACTCTGCGCAATACCATCGGGAGCTAGCAGTTCCAACGGCGTAAGCTCGAGTCTTGTATCTGGCTATCTTCTCGGGGACTACCTTCAAGATGGGAACTATAGAGACACCATCATGGACGCCCTGATCGAGTGGAATAGAACTACAGACGCTGCCCAGCGAGCGAGCTTCCTTACATCCTGGACAAACACTGTCTATGACAAAACCCGAGAAGGAAACCCGCTTCAGAAGCTTCTGGTGGATATTACCGTCTGGGATGCCCCACACAATTGGTGGGCTTCCGTGATCGCGAAGATGCCCGCTAGCCACGTTCAAGACGTTTGCCTGTGTCTATCTGCACGCTACAAAGCTGCAGGCGCTAAGAACCCACTGCGTCCAGGGATCAGCAGTTGCGTATATCACTCGCACGGAGACAAGCCTTGCGGCGTCACTGAGAAGGCGAAGTGAGGACAGCATCAATGGATGTGTAAGATGTGGGCTGACATAACGACAGGACACCGCAAATCAGCAACCCTTCTCCAGACCCTTTCACAAGCCTATATACTGAACCTGATTCAGGAGACAGTTTTAGTGAGGACGGTTTGAGAGATTATACGCCTCGTGTACGCCCACGCGGCGGTCTGCGCGGCCGTGGTATGAGAGGTGGACGTGGGGGTTAGGATCATGCAAGCTACTTAGACACTCGAAGAGTTTCGAAGAGATTGATATATAGTAGCCATTTGTGAGCGGTCTACTTCGAGGAGGGCTTTAAGGCTGTTAGGAAAGTTTCGGTGGATGCAATACTGTTTATCGCAAACCACATGCACGCAGACAACCATCGAGGAGCGGCATGAGTCAGTAGACCTATCACCAGGACCTTTTCTCAAATGAGATATGACAATGTCTGGCACCGTCATCAATACTCGTACAAGATCAGCTGTCATGAAGTGCAAACAAATATCGAGAATGTGTGTAAACAATAAAACATTAATCATTACTACTGTGAACTCGCTAGTACGCTTCAAAACAAATCACTCCCACCACTACCACCTGAATCATACACTCACAACATCTCTCCCCTAGTTAACGTGAGGAATGTAAGTAGGACCCCTACCCGCCTCAAACGCAGGTCCAGCAGGTCCATCGACATAAGCGGTATCGTGGTCGGCAACATAAGCAGCATTAGGGTTGGCAATGTACGCGCTATCCCTCATGCTCTCGCTGTACCTAGCCTCCTTGACAACCTCAGGCCTCTGGTTATCCTTGCGGCCAAAGCTCCAGGCGCCGAGCAGAACAAGAGCGAAGATACCGAGGTCGCACAGCTCGCCGAAGATGATGAAGAGGAAGGCGAGGGCTTGGTTGGTGGTGCGTGAGTAGTTGTTTGTGTTGCGGTAGATGAGGACGAGCTGGGCGATGGAGAAGGCGTTGCGGACCCAGACGATGGGGGTGACGAGCATGACGAAGCGGGTGAGGGCTGACTTGGAGCGGTTCTAGATGTCGTTAGTATATGGTCGTGCGCAGTAGGGAAGGGAGTGAACTTACACCGACAACACCGTTCTTCTTGATACCAATCCAGCACAAGATGGCCTCAAGCGTCGCACTAGTCGACGCAGCAATGACAGTTGCTACGTAAACAACGTAAAGAGTCCTCACCATGTAGTCAACAGCAATCAAACTCGGGTAAGCCAACGCGGAGTTCCCACTACCACGGCGCGCAAGACCAACAGCCCAGCTAGCAAAGCCAAGAGCAAGGATAGCCAACATCCAGAAGCCGTTCAAAGCCCAAGACAGCACACCAGGCTCCTTGATACCAGTGCCGTTGTTCTGAACGTGGTTGGCGTGGATCCAGATGGCGCCGACGATGCAGGCGTTCATGATGATCATGGCGCCTTGGTAGGTGAAGGAGAGGATGGAGATGATCTTTCCATATCTGATGGAGTCGTTGTTGCCGAAGGGTTCCGTGTATTGGGGGTAGGCGTAGGCGGAGGTGATGTAGAAGGGGGAGGGGAGGCGGGATTGGAGGGCCACGATGGAGGCTTGCGCGGCGTAGGCGATCATGAGGGTGGTGAGACCCGTGATGAGGAAGAGTTGCGTGCCTGTGGAGCTGTTGTGTGTTAGTTAACTTGGCATTGGATAGAAGGGGCGTGGATAGGTGTACCTGTGCCTGTTCAGAGTTGACCTGTTAAACTTCTTGAATGTGCGGGGACGTCCAGGGCCGCCGACGAGCTGGCGACCGAACAACGCAAGAGCGGCCAGAATAAGGATGATGGACCCGCCTGCTGTAACGACATGAAGGGCGAAAATTGCCTGGACGGTGGATGTGGTGTTGGTGATGGCCATTATGCGTGTTCGGTGGGTGTGCAGGACAGCACCCTTGTGAATTAAGTGATGAAACTGATTACTATACTGATGATACTCTACCAACATGCAAACTTGAGGGTCTTTATCATATCAACCAAACCTATGCGGTCATACCTCACAAGCCCAGACCATGACGATGCCTTGCGACGAACTGCTGTCAAACTTTACCAACGTTGACGCGCATCGAGACCAACAGCTCCCTGGCCTGGAATTAGCCATGTGACTAACCGTGGCCTCAACGAAGATCGAGCAATGAAAGGGTTCGGTGCGAGTCGCGACGTTGAAATGAGCTTGGGTGAATGACGTTTAGCGGCGCGCGGAGAGTAACGGAATGACGTCGCGCGTCGCTAGCAGAAGCAACATGGCCGTCGCAGCCGGTTGCTTTTTCGTTTTGCGTGAACGGTTATTTGAGATATTTGGCTTGGACCGCCGAAGATCGTCGCAGTCACGGTAGTGCCATCGTGGAGGCGTGAGCGCGGGAGATGTGTTCGCTGGCGTGATGATCTGCCCAGGGGTGTTCTTGTTTCTGGGCTCGACGGTGACGCGCTAGCGGTCGGGAACATGATGTGCCATTGCCAAGTGGGCTCTGCAGCAGGATTTTTCGAGACTTTCAAGAACACGACGATGATAATAAAAGTGGTCGCGCATCGAACGCACGAGGATCGAAGCGAGGTCAGGATGTCAATCAAGATGGACCACGCACTGCTCTTTCACCTCGCAGTCCATCAATCGCTTTTCCCAACCCCGACAACCTTCCCACTGCCTCGGAGTCCCAGCTCTTCAGGCGTCATGAACCTCCGCACGGCCTCAATATCGTTTCCGCCCCAAGCACCCTTCCCACTGCTGCGCTTTCCGTGTTGTGCTGTTTCATACTCATCCTTGTGCCATCCACACCCAAATATGCAAAACATGCACACGACAACGAACAACGCCATGACTGCGAGGATGAAGATGAATAGGGACCAGATACCGGAACTAAGCCACGTTACGAAGGACGCAGAAGCCGAGTTGACAACATGAGTCGCTGTACCCTTCTTGCCATTGTCGTCCCAATCATGGAACCACATTGCCGTTTTTTGTATGCGCTTGCCGTTTATGCTTGACTGTGAGCGCGGGATGAGTGCAGCGCGGATAATCTCGTATGCGCTTGCTGGGTCACCGGCGGACAGCAGGGGACGCTGCAGAAGGACGAGTTCCAGAATTTTCTGCTCTTTTCTGTCCATAACGATTGTGAGATCCGGGGAAGTCAGATCAGTCCACAATTGCATGATATCGAAGTGCAACACCAATGCATTGGAGTCTTTGACGTGGCGCAGGGAGTAGGCGTATGAAGCGCCAAAGTAAGCGCCCCCAAGGCTGTCGAGCTGATCAGATGCGACGAGCTTGTCAAGATCATCTTTCGATGTGTCCAACAAGACTTGGTTAACATATAGTTTCGGTAGAATCTTGGAGTCTCCTAAAAGTGGGGCATTGTTGATGCTTAGATGCGCTGAGTCGTAGGGAAGGGAGATGTTCAGAAGCTGGGGCACGTTAGCGGGTAATTCGGTCCCCTTGGCATTAGGGATGGTTTACCAGAGCGTTGTCGTCTTTTCTCTGAGCCCATGGCGCATCGTTGCCTTCTGATGTGTCTTGGTATAGGAAAGGGCACCCAACACATGGGATCTTGGCAATCACGTTGTAGCCCTCCGCAACTGTCGTAATTTCCGGTGCGACTTCAGCAGCTCCGCATCGCGCAAACGCGAGAATCGCAGCGAGAGGCGCTATCCGGAATATCATGATGAGAGGTAGGATGATGAATTGCAGTAGGGTCACCCGTGTTGACACGTTTGAGGTTATGTGGCTGGGTCTGTATGTATGTAAGCTGGGGCGGGTGGGGCGGCTTCCATGGGTCATGTGAAGTCGCGAGCTAGCGTGTTTGGAATACGAGATACAGCACTCACATCGCTCCCAGTCTTCACAGAAGTAAGGCTCTGTTTGCCAATCGAATTTGCAGCAGAATCGGGGTACGAGGTTCTGTGCCAGGTAAGATTTTGAAGAACCAATGTACAGCACGACTAGTTTCTTGTGCATCAGAGGTACCTAGGTATTTATTCACATTATGTATAGCCCAACATCAACCATGTATACACTCAGCCTAATAACGACCGAATCTCGCTACGCCTCGGATCTATTCCTTCGAAGCCCAGCTTTATCGGGGTTGGATGTTTTATTGAATCTTATCCAGTCTCCTGGCAATCAACGCCATTCTCTCTCATCAACAACCCCATGATCTCGTTGTCATCGTGACCGTCGTATATACCATACTGCGCTCCCTCAAGTACTCTACTGGGAGCCTCCAGATAATCTTCTGCCGCCTCGTCTGCTGTATCGATGAACTCAGCTTCAATCCTCTTCGACAAAGCGTCTCGGATCGTCTTACACGCGGAAAGAGCCTCCTTTGCTTCTTTGTCTTCCAGATGTTCCTCGATATCGGCGAGCTTCTTGAGGATTTGGGCGCGGTTTGTGGTCGGACTTTGTAGCCCAAGTCTAGGATCCAGCGTCAAGTGACTGGCAACCGCTAGAGCGCCAATCTCGATGATCTGTCTGCTTCGTGCAAGTTCATCAGGTCGTGTCATATGCCGAATGACCGGGTTATCCGAGCGCACTGCAACATCTGTCATGCCGGCACTGTTGTGACCAGTCCCATGTTTCAGATCCCGGCGATCTCTCATCTCGTTCAGCGGCGTACCGATAGGAGTAGAGAACATGTCGGCGACGAATGTATCGTTGTACGTATAGTACGGTACGCTTGTTGGATTAAGTGGCCTTCCTCTCGGCGCCGGACCTTGACTCACACTCCTTCCATGTTGGAAGTGCGCGGCATGCCTTCTCTTGTGTTCTGGTGTAGCTGATCTCGCACGTGGTGCTTGGAGCCGAACGAAAGTGGGATTGGTGATGCTGTTGGCTGCGGCAATGCGATCTGTATCTCCAGTGCTCAAAGATCGACGACGACCGTAGCCTTGCGATGGCTGTCCTGATTGGAGGTATGCATGGTTTGTTTGACATTGCATAGGCCGAGGACGATCGTTGAGGTCTGGATCATCAGTTGTTGTTGTGAAGGCTCGTTGCAGATCTAGCGGGTAGGGATGGGGTGTACTTGGTCCGGGAGTCGGGTATGCCGCGGCGGTTTGGCCGAAGTCGTAATTTGAGAAGTTGGGAGTCGAAGTTGTGGAGGTGTTTGGTGAGTCAACAGCTGCAAAAGCACCGTGTTCATATGTAAGACTGAAGTCATCGAGTATATCGCTGTTGTTCGTCGAGAAGATAGGTTGCCCTGAGCCATCTGATCCGAATAGTTCGTTGAAGTCGGCTTGAGAGAGCTGTTCCTCCTCGTCCATGGATGAAAGGAACAGATCGGCGGCTGTGTGACTGAGTGGCGCGTTTGGCTGAGACATTCTGTAGGTTCCCAGTAGGATTGTAATAATGAGTAAAGCGCGTATTGTTACCGAGATCTGCGGCTCTGTCGATACGGGAAGGATGTTACACAGGAAATGGGAGGCTGCGTAAACGATGTCCAGATATAATTACTGTTTGGTCCTTCCGTTGGCCTGAGCTGAAACACGACGCGGTGAGTTTGGTGAGCATAGATGGTGGCGCTGGAGTAGGCCAATGGCCGGATGCCTACGTTGAGTACGTGGTCGATAGGCAAACATCGCTCCTGTGCATACAGTCAGTGCTCAGGCTCGTTTCGCGTAATCCTTGGCTATCTTGTCATAAGAGGACTATTTGCTGTGGTGGGAAATATAGAATTAGTTGCGACATGCTCGAGACATTTGTCAGAAGTTGATTTCGCCAGTCAGCTGCACTGCGCATCCATTGTCTCGCAACAGTGTTGCAGATCCGAATCGCATCTGAAGGCTCTGTATGAGAGACAATTCACTGATTGTCTTTTTTGACTCAAGACACTTTGCTGTCAAAGATTCAGGTCTTCTGTATTCGTTAAGACATCCAGGTCATCACCTCATAAACGTGTTCCCGCAACTGGTCGGCCCCGGAGACCCTAACGTAGGGCACAATGGATGGCAGTCCTTCCCAAAGGCGATATCGTACATCCGTGTTATACAAGAGAATGCGGCTCTGCAGACACAAAGACGTGTTCACTCCTTCTTGTTCTCGCCGTCGTTTCCCTTCTTCTTGTCCCAGTTCCAAACCTCCCAGATCTGTTCAAATATCATATCACCATAACTCTTTCCTTCTTCAATGGCTTTCTTTTCTTCCTCCAATCGCCGCTCCTTCCAACCCTCCTCCTCATCACCCATCCACAGCTTCCCAAGTATACCCTTTTCTTGCCCTTCCTTCCGCTCCAGTGTCCTCCGACTCTTTTCCCTTTCCTCTTGCAATATCTTCTGCATCTCCTTTGCGCGTTCGGTCGGTAGGTCCATGGCTCGCACTGGACTGAGGTTTTGTACGAGGCCGCGGCCTGTTCGTAGTGTGATGAGATGATCGGCGGAGAGGTAGAAGCCGATGCCTAGAGAGAATGTATAGAGGTCTAGTTTTCGTGGTGGGAGTATGGCTATTATTGGACATATTACGAGGCCGCCGATGGCTAGGTTACGTGTTATGCGCTGGTATCGGGCTTGTTGTTCGAGAGCGAGGCGCTCTTCTGGTGGGATGGGCATATTTTGGACGGGGTTCGGTGTCGCCATCTTGGAGTATGTGTGCGCCCAGTCGATTCTGAAAAGGCAGCGAGTGTCGGAGTAGATTTATTGCGCGTGTAGGAGTTCGAGCAAATAGAGTGAAGGGGTGATGTCAGGGTAGTTCGGTGGTCGCAATGTCAAAAAGTTCAATGATGCAAAGACGGCGGCTAGCTCCCGCCTCGGCTGTAGCTTCCCCTTCGGAGCGGAGGTGCTGCGGAGATCTGGAGCCACGCGAACAGTACTCAGTGCACAAGGTGATCTGGTTTAAACTGCTCGTGATTCAAATGCGCCTATTGATATGCTCTTCTCGATTTCCCATGCCCGTTACGCCGTTGTCCCCAATCTGCACCGATCGTGCATAAACGACCTCATAAAGACGCGCAAATCTCTCGCTGGTTATCGTTGGAACTTCCTCCTCTTCACGTCGACTCTGTCCTCAAAGCGTGGACTTTGCCTCCCTGGCCTGTCCTCTGTCCTGTTTCCTAGATGTTCAAAAGTCCCACTACTCCTCAGCCGTTTCGTTGGGGTTCTCTCGTACTCGCTCCCACTTTGTCCACCTCTTTGCCCTTCTTCATCTGTCCCAGCCGGCCCGTCTGATCTGGGTCCATCCTCGTATGCATCGAATTTCCGCTTCTGCGCAGTGCTCGGCGTCTGCATCAGGCGCCGCAAACGGCTCTCTTGTAACCGCCTATTCACTTCCTCGGTGACATCGACATGTTGAACAACGTAGTCGTCTTCGATTCTGGCTCGCTTTGCGCGTGGAGTGGGCGATTGATCCACGAGAGGAGATATGGCATGCGGGTTGGAGTTCGGGGCTTGCGCAGTCGGTGTAGTAGAGGCATGTTTCGCGCCCTCGATACTAAGACGTTTGTTGGAAGTCTTGACCTGTCGCTTGTTAGCATTTTGGCATCGCGTGCGTAGACGGCACAGCATACCTTCTTCTTTTCCGCTAGACCTTCGTCCTCGAGCTGGTCTCTAAATCTCTTCATGTCGTCCTGTAATCTTCCCGACTTGTTTCGCAGCGAGATCAAGTCCGTAGCTAGCCAGTCGGGGGCATTGTGATCCGTCGCATCGAGCGTCTCATTGAGAAACAGGAGTTGCGCGCGTAGATTCTCGATGTGTTTATCAAAGTCCTGAAGAATGGATGAGAAATGCGATAGAACAGGTAATTGTGTGAATTACCTCGAGCGAAAACTTCGCCATGTTGTATGGCAGAATTGTGGACAGACAAGGGAAACCGCATGCAGGAGGCTTCAACTTCCTTGTGGAGTCCCGAGCGCTTGGGTTGACATCCTCGTTCCGATCGGAACGTTCCGACCTTGGCAGCATCTTGGGATCTTGCCTCGTTACCACGAAGGGCCACTGTGATAGTTCAGACACGACATACTGCTTAGCTTAGTCAAAAGGAGATCGAAATTGTGCGGTGGGAAGTAATGGTATACCATCACGGTCAAATTTGATTTGTATTAATCTCACTATAGTGCCCCATGTGCTCATTAGCGTTTTGAATAGTAGGACCTTGGGGCCTCGTAGCCCTCTTATGCTACATTACATGCCATAAAGTGAGCTTTACGCTAGAGTACACACGACTCAGCTGAAGCTTCCTCTTCTCCTTTGCGCCATATGCATCGCGTCGCTGTTACTGTCCGTTGCGGACCAGTCTGCATGACCACGCGAGGAAGCTGCAGATGAATGAAAGCGATCATTGCCCTCGAGGAACCGGCAAATCCGATGGTCTCGCACAGCCTGAGTTGACGTTGGCGTCAAGTAGAGAGGACCACGATAGCTTTGTGATTCGATGCATCGTCTTTAACAAGCGGGTAATGTCTGATGGTTGAGATGCGACCGTCTTCAGTCTTCATCTTCGCCGAAAGTGAGCTTGACAGCTTTGGCCTTCTTCTTCGGTTTCTTCACTGGCTTTGCTTCTGGCTTCTTCACATCTGCCTCTTCTCCTTTTTTGCTCTCGTCCTGGCCATCCCCGATGATCTTTGCCGCCTTGCGCTTCTTTGAGAATGCACCAACCTCAGCAATCTTATCTTTGGATTGCGATGTCGCATCACTGTCTTTCTTCTTTCCAGCCTCGTCTGCAGCCGGCTCCCCTCCCTCTTTGTCGTCTTTGCCTGAGACAAGCGCATCATACTCCTCTTTACTCAGCGACTGATTCGTCTCTTCCATGACATACGTAGGCGCGTCATCTTCGTCGTCGTCTTTCTTCATCCTCTTATTCCGCGCGATTGGATGTTCATGACGGGCTGTGTCTCCACTGGTGAGTTGCCCGCGCAGCCGCTGTAAGAAGGCTGGCTGTGAGCTGTCTGTCGCGAGTTAGCGAACGATACGATTGCGTTACATGCAAAATTACCGAAATGGAGGTCTTTTGCTTTGAAGCTCATGGTGGTTGTAGTGCAAGGGATGTGCTGACACGGCATGCACGTAAGGGTCTAGATTAGTCGTTTGGCTGAATGTCGTGTCGATCGCTTAGCGGCGGGTTTCCGTGCGGCTCCTTCGCCGCCTTAGCTGCGGATAGTTTACGATGCACTTGCAGTGTACTCCTGGTTCCAAACAGAATTCACTCCATCGAGATGTCTAGTCGGGTGCCTAGATATGGCGGGTGAAAGCCCATCCCGAAACGTATTGGTCCGCTGCACCTGCTATCGGCATGCGTGCTAAAGGGCTTGGCGCGTTCCGCCGACAGGGAACATGTCAACTAGCAGATCTCGAAACGCATACGCAATCATCGGCCGCTAATAATTTACATTCAACGACCCTGTTCTCTCCTTTCACTCCCTCAGGGTTACAAGCTTGAGCCCGTCACGCCAATCGCCAACCGATCTCGATAGTCGTACACCCACCTGGAGTCACGACCCACACGCTCGTTATCGACCAAGCTCCTTGGGTTGAACACGTCGCCCTTTCCTCATCCACAACCGTCGCATTCAGTCGACGTCCTCTAGACCCCTCGAATTCGCTCCGCACCGCTTGCGACTGGGCCAAAGAGCAATAGGGCTGCCATTGGCAGGAAATCGCATACCAGACACGCCACCACTTGGGCACCACCATGGGCTTCCTGCAAGATATGACGAGGAGGCTACCGACCTCAAAGGACAGTCTAGACAAGCTGGACGACCTACCGCGCCGCGCCGAAAAGAACTCCCCACGGTTGTCCTTCTTTCGACGCAGGATACGGCTGAAGGGGAGTTCCTCCGTGTCGATACCTCTGGGCCTGGTGCTGCTGTTTCCATGTCTCGTTATAATAATAATCATAATTCTGTTCGTAAGGTCTCCAGACTCACAGGGCATTATGAACATGCCCGCCGGCGGCCCTCCCTCGATAAGGTACGTGAGATCCTATCACCACAGCATCCAAACAACATTTAACAATGCGCAGACGGATAAGCGAGAAGTACGATAAGCCATTCGCGGTAGGCTGCCTCGAGCCGCAGGTCAACGGACCCCGAGCAAACGCTGCATTCGTAGTCCTAGCGCGAAACAAGGAGTTGGATGGTGTCATACAGTCGGTCAAGTCGATTGAGAGACATTTCAATCGGTGGTTCCACTACCCATACGTCTTCCTCAACGACGGAGACTTCAACGAGACGTTCAGGGAGACGGTCTTGGCTCATGTCAGTGCTCCAGTGGAGTGGGGTAAGATCCCTCCCGAGCAATGGGGCTTCCCCGACTGGGTAGATCCCGATGTTGCGAAGGAAGGAATCGCCAAGCAGGGTGACAGGGCCATCATGTACGGTGGTATGGAGAGCTACCATCACATGTGCAGGTTCTACTCGGGGTATGTAACCTAGCATGCTTTCTTCTGGTTGCCACTAACACGGACAGTAAATTCTACCAACACGAACTACTCGCCAAATACGACTGGTACTGGCGCCTCGAGCCTGAGATCAAGTACTTCTGCGACATCACATACGATCCCTTTATCCACATGATCCGGAACAAGAAGACATATGGCTTCACCATCGCGGTGAAGGAGCTACGAGAAACCGTCCCCAACATCTGGCGATATGCCTCGGCCTACAAGCGTAACAACAACCTGACCTCCAAGGGCATGTGGGAGATGTTCGTGGAGAAGCCGAAAGAGGAGGACGAGAAGGCGCCAAAGACAGAGCCCAAGTCGAAGAAGAATTTCTTCCCCCAGGATATAATGGATGCCGAGTTCGGCACAGAGGCCATGCCTGAAATCCACCCAGAGAACATGGAGGGCGAATCATACAACATGTGCCATTTCTGGAGCAATTTCGAAATCGCCAACCTGAACTGGTTCCGCAGCAAAGAGTACAACGACTTTTTCGAGTTGATGGATCGTAGTGGCGGCTTCTGGATGGAGAGATGGGGAGATGCGCCCATCCACTCGCTAGCTGTCGGTGCATTACTTGGCCCTGAGGATATACACTACTTCCGCGACTTTGGATACCGACATACGACCATTCAACATTGTCCCGCCAACGCACCTGCGCGACAACTCGCCCGAGAGCCATATCTTGAGAAGACGACACTCGACGACAAGGAGCGACTGGAAGAGGACAAGTACTGGGCGTCATATGACCCAGTCAAGGAAAACGGTGTCGGCTGTCGCTGCAAATGCGACCAGGATATTGTCGACGTAGAGGGCAAAGAAGGGTCCTGCCTCACGGAATGGGTAGAAGTGGCTGGTGGCTGGGCATCACCGGGGCCTGACGGACCATGATCTCTCCTTCTCGCGTGATATTCTATCAGCTTCAGGCTAGCATTTTGCGGGAACATTAGCATCTACTCCTCTTTCCAGTAAGGCGTCAGGTGTTGGCATTGCATATGGGCTGGGCCGCCCTTCAATAGAGCATCAGGACTACGCTGGCGTCGTTGCAGGCTTACTTACTTTCTGCGCATTGGCGACACAGTGTATGAGAACGAATACGAACAAGTTGAAAACAGCTCTGCTCCTGAATAATGCCTTCGTTGTTTGGTCATGGGGTTGCTTGCTTTAGATGACGGCCCCACCCCATTCAAGGGCAAGGTTGAACATCAACTTTTTGAAAGAATCATAGAAATAGATTGGTCAGGAATCTGCATCGCCTCAGCATCTCACTAAGCCTTATTGTTGTGCTGATGTAGACTGCAGCGCGCCTGTTCGGTTTCATTGAATGAGGTGGCCCGCTGTGGACATGTGAACCATGTTCCGTATCTTATCGCTTACTACGAGACTATGCGGGGTTACCCCCATACGCATCCCACCTAAGCTCGACCGTCCATCAGCACCTTGTCGTCACCACAACTCGCAGCAGTTTGAACAGTCGCTCATCTCTCGCATTCACTGACAGCATTTCGGTAGTCCTACACTTCACTTATCGGGCTATCAGTGTGCAATCTGGTATGTGCTGTCACCTGCTCCCGCTGGTCCCCACTTCCTCCCGAAGGCCCCCATACGCGCCTCGCCCGCAGCTAGTTAGGCAGCGTCCACCTGGTGCCCACCACAACCTCACCTTGACCGTTTCCCCCTCTCTCCTTCCACAACACTCGGATCGCTTTGAGCTTCTGATCACACTGGATTTCGCATGAAAACAGGCTGACATGTCTTCCAGCGAGCCTAACTCCTCCCAGGATCTCAAGTTCCCCCCTGTGCAGGTGGCCCACTCGCTCACTAAGCTTGATCTTGAAACGCTCATGATGAGGTCGACTCAACGCCGAGCCCCAGAAGAGGCGGGCAGCTCTCTCGACGACAGCAGCTATGACCTGCTCGGCGACGGCGTCATGGACATGTCCGACGACGAAGCCCACACCGAGTCGATCGCGTCCACCGACGGTCCCACGCCCGATGACACGTCTGACGATTTCAGTGATGACGACGTCGAGTACGAAGCCGGCGAGCATCACTTACAAGATAGCACATACTCTTCGCACGGCGAATCCCAAGAGCAGCAAACCCACGTACACCCTATACTATCCGGGGAAGACTCCTCTCTGACAGAGGTTCCGCCATACCTGAGTGGGAGCATGAGCACAAGGCATTTCGTACTCCAAGAGCAGCACACGGGCAGCTCTGATGTAAGCCATGGAAGCAGCGTCATCAAGAGCTCGGCAGGTTATACGGACGAGCTACCACCGGTGTTCGACCGTTATGGCTGCAAAGAGATTAGATTGTCGGTCAAGGCAGCCTTGTCCAAGGACCCTCTCGCCACCCCAGACGCGTACCGAATACTGTATATTGGTAGCGGAAAGTGGGCAGAGGGCACCATCACCTCTAAGATCTGCGCAGCGCTCGCTGCCTACCCTAGCGCCTCGAAGTCGGTCATGGTCCGCGGTCACATCGAGCCCTATGCCCCTGTCCCGCACGCTGATCGTTGTGCCAAAATGGAGATTCAGAAGTCGCGCGAGAAGAGGCACGTTCTCGCCATCATGGAAGATGGACGACAGCTCATGTTCGGCTCCGGCCTGTCTGCTCACTCTTCAGATCGACCAGACCTTGTGGTCCTCTGTCACCCAAGCGTCCTTGATAGCACTGCTGACAAACAAGATCTTGCATCTGCCAAGGAAGTATTCGAACGCGAGACAATCCCATGCATCAAACTTGCTGAGACCAATCCTTTCGGAGCTGGATCTTCCGTTGATGAGAACACTACGGCGTTACGGGTATGCGTAGAAGGGCGAGACAACCCGAACACTGATTACGAGCTGAAGGAAGTACTGCCTCTCGATATCCACCAGTTCGACCAACTCGAGCCATCGCAGCTTAATCGCCATCTCGCACTCATTAGTCCTCATCTAGCGAAGGCACAGGGCACGAAGGCTGCCTCGACAGCCCGCAAATCATGGTTTAGTGACAAGACCAAGACGTCTACGAAGAAGATGGGCTCACCATGGCCAACTGCAAAGTTGCTAGCATCTGCTTTCGTCCTCTTCGCGCTCATCCCCGCGCTTCTCATGGGTGCGGCTTACACCCCTATGCTGTACCAAAAAGTGTCACAAGGGCGGTCAGTGTCACCAGCCGTTTCAGAGATTCAGAACAACACCGCAACGATCACACCCGTAGCGTCAGTGTCTCCAAGTGCGGCTCGATACCCAGATTTAAGTCGTTCGAGCATGGTACACGAAGCCCGAGGCCTCACTGTTGTACCAGTCCAGCCAAAGCAGGCTCCCCAGAAGCCAAAGGCGAAGAACAGTCAGGCTGGAGGTTTCGAAATCCAGATAACCGGAGACCATCAGTTTGTACTACGTCCTTCTAAATCCTTCAATTCGAACCGGAAGAAACCCCAACTTCAGGTTCAAGTTTCTCGCCAGTCTCAAGAGGTTCCAGCACATTACAACCGGACCACCACTGGCGAGTACATTGTCGACCTGGATCAGCAGTATCGATTCGATAAGTTCAATGTCAGCATTGCCACACATTCAAAGCCTCTTTTGCGGCAATCCTTCGAGGTGATGCTCGGACACAACAAGTCGACGCTAGATCAACTTCTCGACACCGCCATGTCCAACATATTGGATACACAAAACACCCTTCGCAACGTCTCCGCTGTAGCTGCACAGCACCTGCAAGAATACATGGCCGGGTTTGATCTCTACGCTTCCAAGCAACTTCAGGAGACTAAGCATCAGCTGGAGATGAAGGCTCATCGGGCAAGACAGATACCGGATGCTACGTGGATGGGGTTGCGAAAGGTGACCGCACCGGTGCGGACATCGTCAGCGATGCAAAGGGCCAGGATGAATGCTCTTCGCGTGAGGTGCAAGATGGAGACAGCGGCGGGACTGTCTGCAAAGGAAGGCGGTGAGGGGCAGAGCTGGGCATGTGCAAAGGTGGGAGGGGCGGTCTAGCGAACATGGGAAGGCGGCACGCAGTGGAGGATCTCATGTGACTTTCTGCACTGTCTTGTTTTGATTATGCGGCGTATACGGACAGGAGGGCAGACACAAGGGTGCAGTGATATACCCCTGGGACCTGGTGTGGACAGTAGGACAACTTGGGAGTTATAGGACTTGTCAAATTCATCTCATACCACGATGCATCTACAGCAGCTTTGTAGATGCGCACATGCCCTTGGCTCTGTACTGACGTATTTACACGTTGACTCATCATCTAGGACAGACTGGTAGGGTGCACGTTGCGTCAGGTGTGAGCAGGCGCGTTGGGCACGTCCCCTGAGCCGAACCGGGTAAAGCGCGTTCTGGAGGGGCATCCCACTTCCCAATTTACAGGCAGTTGTTGACACAAGAACCCACAAACACACCACATCTCCCCCACAAACGCAGCTCTCTTCTTATTACACACAGACCCGAATACTCCGCATTCATAGAAGAAGATGTCTGAAGCAGCCAAGCCCGACCCCGCCGCCGAGCAGATCGCCAACCCTGCGGCGACTCTTGTTCAGGACGAGACCGCAAAGGTCACCACCGACAAGGCGTCTGACAAACCCGAGACCACCACAGAGAGCAAGGATGACAAGCCCATCACAGAGAAGGCGACAGAGGCAGCGGCCGCAGTGAAGGACAACGTCTTCTCCATGTTCGGTGGCGGCCCCGCAAAGGTCAAGAAGGAGGAGGCCGACGATGTCGACGAGCCATCAGGTGCTTCCAAGCCCAAGGGCGAGGTGCGTATGTGCTACGGTGCTTTCGAAGATGTACTGACAAGGCGACAGGACGAGGACCCCGAGAACGAAGAGCCCGATGTCGACTTCCAGCCCGTCGTCCACCTCACCGAGAAGGTCGACACCAAGACCAACGAGGAGCTCGAGGAGCAAGTGTTCAAGATGCGCGCCAAGCTGTTCAAGTTCGACAGGGAATCGCGAGAGTGGAAGGAGCGCGGCACTGGTGACGTCCGGTTACTGAAGCACAAGGAGAATGGCAAGACCCGTCTCGTCATGCGCCGTGACAAGACCCTCAAGGTCTGCGCCAACCACTACGGTATGATACATGGAAGGCGGATGTGAAAGCGGATACTGAGAAGTGCATAGTTGTTCCCGACATGAAGCTGTCGCCCAACGTCGGCAGCGACCGCAGCTGGGTCTGGAACGCCGCGGCCGATGTCAGCGAGGGCGAGCCCGAGGCTCAGACCCTGGCCATCCGGTTCGCCAACAGCGAGAGTGAGTCCAAGAAGATCCACGAAACCGCGCAGCAGAGCACTAACTATATCTGTTAGATGCCAACCAGTTCAAGGAGGCCTTCATCAAGGCCCAGCAAGAGAACGAGGCGCTTTTCGGCAAGTCGGAGCAGTAAATGCTGCCGGATAATAACAGCTTGGAGGACGGGATGAGATACGAAAAGATGGATTGCACGAACAGTGAATGAGGAATTGGGACGGCATGATAAGATGGTGGTAGAAGAGATTACCCACACCCTGCACATAACTAGATAGTAACTAAATGGCCCGACTACTGTAGTCAACGGCGTCCCCCCATGCAAGACCTGATGGCACGAACTGCGTCGATTTGGTAGTGATGGCTTTACTTTGAAGAAATCGCGAAAATGACCCTGCATAGCCTGCAGTCTCACCTGCAATGCAAACGTGTGCTGATGCCGTATCACGTCTCTCACCTGGCAGAAGGCTAGTCCCCTGTCAGGCAGGCTTCCGTGCTCGTGCAGCTTTTCTTACAGCTTGATGGTTTGCGCCAAGCCAGCGCAACTAGTCTCCGTCTCCGCCGCCCCGCGACCATCTCTCAGTTAACTCGCCAAATCAGAGCTCGCGACCCGAGACCAGCCACGCCTTTACTACACGCGCCCCGGCTTTGTCGCAAGAGACCGACACGCCAGACCGCGCCCGACGTGAACCGCCTCTACATACCTCGCGTATATATTCTTGAGCCAGGCCGGAACCAATCACGCTCGCAGCAGCCCGTCTACGCAGTCCTCGCGGCGCAAATCAGACAAGATGCCTGACGTAAGTTGCGGCTTGGAGATGCCCTCAAAACCATCGCGCAAATGCTAACAACCGCGCAGGTCAAGCGATGGGTTAAGCTCATCACTCACCAGAAGCCCATGTACGTACAATCCGCGCGCAATCGCATGCGCTTGCCCATCTCAAGCGTCTACACGTCGCCAGCCGCTAATACGCATTCACAGCGCGGAGCCTTCGCCCGTTGAGGGATACCCCATGCGATCATGGAGCATAGAGGTTTGGCTGCTGGATGACCAGGGCAACGAGGTCATGCCCAGCGTCTTCGAGAAGGCCGTCTACAACCTGCATCCTTCATTCGAGAAGAACAAGCACAGTAAGTGCGCCCGACACTGCGCTGAGCAGCATGCCGTCAGCAAGCATTCCCACTAACATGCCAAAAGTCATCAAGAAGCCGCCGTTCCGCATCGATGAGAAGGGTTGGGGTGAGTTCGACATGAGCATTGTCTTGTCCGCTGTTGGCAAGGGCGGTGATCACACCCTCGAGCACGACCTCAACTTCCAGTCGGAGCGTTATGAGGCCAAGCACCAAGTTGTAAGTACCACAGACGCGTGCTATTCATCAGCCAGAACATTGCTAACCCGTCATTGCAGACTTTCCGCAACCCCAAGCCTGAGCTCCTCGCCCTCCTCGCCGAGTCTGGTCCCGCCGAGGCCAACGGCATGCGCAACAAGGACGCCGCCAAGAAGAAGGGCCGGAGAGACAAGAACGTAGACATGGAGAAGCTGGCCGATGGACTGCAGAAGCTGGGTGAGGACGACCTGCTGCACGTGGTCACCTTGGTCCACGACAACAAGACCAGCGAGACGTACACTAAGAATGACGTCGAGAGTAAGTTCCGATCATCTCCTATTGCAAGGCACGTGCTAACAAATGATAGATGGCGAGTTCCACGTCGACCTCTACACCCTACCCGATTCCCTAGTCAAGATGCTCTGGGACTTCACGTCCTCGAAAGTCGATTTATAGGTTGTTTCGCGACCAGAGGTTCTATCTTGCGTCGATTCGACCCTGAGTGACCAACACAACACGATATCTCGTTCGCACGTCCACGATCCTTCCCAGCATCCTCATGCTCGAGAAACATAGCAGCATCACGCTCGCTTGCTTCATCCTCGTAGCGGAGGGGATCGTGCGGTCCATGTCTTGAGTTACCCTAACTCTCAGTGGCCGGACACAACGTCGAACGAATATATCACTCACCCCATGTTTCTGTTCCTGTTTTCTCGTTCTTCATGAGCCTCGGAGTTTTACAAAGGGCAAAAGCTGGGTGGCTATGCATACATGGCAAGCTTCTTTTGATATTGATTGGCGCTGGGAGGGTTACAGGCTTATTATAGGTGGATATGCATGGGCGAGAAATGAGATTACTTAATTCTTGGTTTCTACTTTCTTTGTGTAAATTTGAGAGTGGATCATTGTGTGGTGCTAACAGCCTTGATTCTGACGTTCGGAGGGAGTGCGAGCAAGAGTTACTGACTATATGCTACATGATTCACGACTTCAGTACACGCGTGTAAGCTGATTTCCCACATGCCGACCACGACTGCACGACAAGGACAGTACTACGCATCGCTATAGGAGTAATGCATATCTGGCATAGACTCAGAACCCGGCCGATCGGTCCTCATCGGCACAGCAATTTCCCAAGCTTCTACTGACTCATTCCAGAGTCAGTACCACCACGGCGTAGAGTATGAACCAAGTTCAGATTCTCATATCGATGGAATATCGGATTGGGGCGTGGTGGTAGCTATTGGACTGCTCAACGGAGCGTGGAAGAGAGGATAAGTGATGATGACGATCATCATCATCATCATCATCATCGAGAACACAGTGACAGGCTCGAGACACGTTTGTAAGAAGAAGAGAGAGGGGCTGTCCGCCAGACATGGCTTTGACCTGACGTCTTTTGGGTGTGCTCTCACTTACACTCCATCACAATGGAAGGTTCCCTTTTTTTGGTGAAAGTGAAGAAGAATGAAGCTTTCTGGTATTGAGAAGAAGAGAAGCAATCTCAGGCAAGCTCCAGAGGCTTTTATACGTGAGTCTCTAGTGTTTTGCTCACACATGCGTCCTTGTACTTCAGGGTTTTGGAGTCGCTCTTCTTCTCGAACTCATGTATTGTGTTTTAGCGGATTTTGGCACAGCAGAGCTTCTCAGACATTCAGCTGTTTTATCTCGTCTTTTTTGGACGGAGCAGGCAAAGAACCATATCGATGTAGTCTCTTGACTTTGTAAGCAGAGTTCGTCCGCACATGCGAGAAGTCGACAACTGTTTCAGTAGCCTTGGGGGTCGCGCAAAATGCACATGAGTTGTTCAACACTCTTTTTCTTTCATAGGTTGGCGATAGGAATTTTTTGGCGTTCCAGAAATATCCCGGAGGAGTTGGAGAGTAGGTCATGGAAGGTGGATAGAAGAGCCTTTTATACGGCGTTGCGCCTAGCGTTGTGTTCGATCTTCGGTCTGTTAATGAGGGGAGGAGACTCGCCGAAGCCATCGAACGGAATCATGTAAATTTTGAGTTGGAAGAAGGCGGAAGACATCATACATAACACTTCCTGATTAGACTCGGAGGAGGACATAATATGTCGTATATGCTTTCTTTCTTTGGCTCGACAAACACATAAGTAACTCGTCTGAGCTTTTTGGAAGTAATGTTTATGAGTGGTGGGAAGAGAAGAAGGTCGGAGAGGAAGTAGAAGATATCCTTTAGTCCTCGAGCCAGACATCATTGTCGTGGTGGCAGCTTTAAGCCTAAACAAATCCTCGAAGCAAAGTAAGTCGGTACGTCAACGACTTTGGGACATGAGAATTTCGGACTGTGTTTTGAACAAAAGGTGCTAATTGTTGGCCTGTCGGAGCACCCAGCGCACCAGACATGCCCGTTCTGGTTTGAAGATTTCGGTTTCATAAAAGAGACG